GCCACATCTTTTGTGTGAGGGCTGGCTAATGCAACTCACGTAGCTGTCCGAACCTTAATGGGTGGAGCAGTGTTCAGGCCCGTCTGTCATTAGTTGAAAATCGAGTTTTATATATATATATATATATATATATATATATATATGTATATATATATATATATATATATATATATATATATATATATATGAGAGAGAGAGAGAGTGAGTGACGTGCGTCATATTGCCCCACTGACTACCTAAGCCTTGGTAAGAGATAATGACTGGTCCTGTTGCATTCCTATAGCTCATTTATTGATAAACAAGAAACATGTGGATGCTTTGGTGTTGCATTGTACTGACTATTACAAGCTCCATCCGAAATTAACAAGAAAGCTTACTGTAATTTTAATTTGACTATTTATAAATTATATTGTCATGAATAAATTACGTAATAAAAATACTCTTAAAAGTGTTCGACTTAAATGCATTTATTCAATTTTGAGGTTTTAAATCTGAAGATATAACACGACAGGACAATGATCGCTACCAGTGATTGCACAACGTATTTCCTGATCACTGACATTAGTCAAGATTCGCTGAGATACCAAAAAGTAGTCCAGACGCCTGAAATAAGGACGAGAGAGGAAATTTGTATTGAAAAACTAACTCTTGATAATTGGCTCTTAACAACATATGATTGAGAACTCAAGAGCCAGATATACAACGATCAATCAATTGTGGTAATTTCATAAATGATAACAACTAACTTCCCTGCAGATGGTGAGTAACTGTTTTGCAACAGTAACTCAAAATCTCTTTAACACTAAAAGAACTATTGATTGGGTTTACGCCAACTGGACAAAAGTACAACTGAGCAAAATCTCCGTGGGATTGTAATCTAAATTGACCCGGTACAGGTTAATGTACTAGGTCATACTAGTCATACTGTTGGAGTTTGCGATACTACCCTTGAACTTGAACTACAATGTAACTTCACATCGTAATGCTCAACGAGACGATGATAAAAAAAGATGTAGCGGAAATCTTCGTTTTGATTGCTATGATACTGGGATGTGTGACTAGGTATCGCAATTCTACGTCATTCTGGAATATACATTCCAGGTATCAATATCTCAGTACTCTTCTTCACTCTTTTGTATGCTGAGAGACGGCAGGAACAACTCACCAACCCTGTGCAAAGTTATCTACCTCGTGATGAGCCACATTTAATGCGTGATGGCTTAGGATACTAGCCGACGTCAGGTAGGTAGGATAAGGACATGGACGCGGTACCCCTTGCCGGAAAGTTTGTGCGTCGAAGACACGTGATCGGTAAACCGCTACCTTCATGTGGTGGTCGGGCTTACATATCATAATGACATAGCAAGCTACAGTGGCTAGAACGCTTTGTCCCTCAGGGTTCTACTATGTCAGAAAGGTTTGTTGGGTAGTGGTAACACGAAAAGCAGTTACCGTCGTAATGTAAATTGCTATACTATGATGAAGGTACGGGGGTGAAGTTGTACTGCTGCTAGCTGGATGGAATGTGAGAGTAATAGGATGTTTCCTGAGGATGACCAGCACTCCTACGCTGATGCTGCCTTCTCAATGGAAGGTGGGGTGTAAAAGATTAGCCCCAAAAATAACACACTCCACCCTGCCCATAGTCTTACGGTACCGATGGCATGAGGTTTTCTCTACGGCAAACCTCACAACAATACTCAAAAGGCTGTGTGTGACAGGCCTCAAGCAGATGTCACTTAGGGTCTGAGGTCACACAAATCTTTAGCTCTTTCAGGTACTTTAGAAAGAAATAGTCTTTCACGGTGTGGGCAGCCGGGGAATGTCAATCGTCAACACGCTCCCAGTAGTACAATAGACCCAATTAGTCATAACCTATCTTCCTCGACTATGTCTCTTTCTTTCTCTTCACCTACTGATACCAATATTAGGCCTCTTACGACTTATCCAACCTCTCACTCTGCAACCATTTCCAACGATCAAAGTCATCAGAACCTCATTTCTAGTCTCCTAAGACCCCGCTATCAATTTCATGAAGGAGCTTTCAACATCCCAACTCTATGTTATATCGGGCAGCAAGCATCACTTGCCAGAACTATAGATCTCGAGCCATGGATGTATGCTGTATCTCTGAGACACGTATACAGGATCTAAGTATGGTTATTAAATTTATCTCACCTGACAGGTGCGGTGAATCTTACAAATCCACCCTACGAGTATCCGGAAACCCAATAGCTGGCTTTCGTGGACTCGCCGATGTGGACATAGCATGGATCTGTTGCGCGCAAAGTGTGCTTCTCCACCGAATACCACTTAACAACCGTCTTTGTGTTGTTTGATTGAATGGATCATCAAAGCATATAGAACATCGGTAGACTAGCCGATCCCTATCCGTAATCTCCGCCTACGCACCCACTGACTGTAGTTCGCATGATACAAAGGATGAATCCTATCAGCTGTCGGCTTCGCTACAGAAGGCAAAACGTTCAGATGTAGTCACATTGGCAGGTGACTTTAACATCCAGATTGGGAAGCTGAGTCAAACGTAGGGAGGTCGTGCGGGTATCTCAGGAATCCGATCCCAACGATCCGAAGACGGTAATCGTTGGTTGTAACTTTGTTCCGACAGTCACTTGTTTCTGGTCAGCGCTAACCTCAAGCATAGGGGAGACTTTGTCTCACACGGCATCCACCGAAATCAACAAGATGATGGACACCAATAGATCCCATTGCTATAAACAGGCCATCGTTGGAGAGGATCGGTGAAGGATTGATGCTCTTTCCGGGATCCCTGTTTGAACTCTGATCGCATGACAGTACGGGCTGGTGTATGTCTACGCCTTACTGGTCGCAGGAAACATGCGATAGTAAAGTCTGTCTATGCTCAACTGGAAGATGAGGACGCCACATACGCATTAAGGTAGGAGTTAGCTAAGCATTTATCTGAAAGTAACAGTAATGCTCATCCTGAGGAAACCTGGCGTGATATTAAGTCTGTGTATAGACATCGGTAAACACAATTGGTAACCTACACGTCAGTAGATTTCGGCAAATTCACCCGGACTGACTGATGCGAGAGGACTGATTCCAACAGGACGTGACTACAACGAAGGGAGAAAGCGCGACGTATGCGTTAACTGACTAAGAGTCTTCTCATCGATCGCAAGCATTGGCGGGTCGCGAAAGCGAGAGAGATGAAAGCATCAGTGTTGGGTAACACTCAGCAACTATTTGAGCTTATCAATAATGCCGGGAAAAAAGTTAATCCATTATTGAAAAGGATAACCTCGCAAGACAGGCGGCTAGGACGTTGTGCAGAACACTTTGAAGCCCAATCCAACTGGGCCCCTGCAACGTTTCAGTCGCCCAACATCCAGCCCGAACCTGAATAGCAAAAGAATGTCGATCTTTCAAATCTCTTTGAAGTTGAGAAGGTTGTATCAAATCTGAAACAAAGTAAAGCTACAGTAGCTGACAGTTTGCTACACGTAGTTTTCAAGGATGGAGGTATGAAACTGCTAGTTAAAGTGATTTAGGTACTAAGTAGCCTATGAGAGTCAGAGATAGCGCCGTCAGACTGGTCTACTTCACTGATCATCCATTCTATAAGAAAGGAGAGAAGACTTCCTGTGAAAACCATATGGGAATTAGTTTGAATAGCATCATGTCGAATATCCTAGGGTCCATCGTTATCCGACACCTAACCGGAGCTCAAGAACAGTAAACTCGAGAAAATCAGGCAGGTTTCAGGCAAACCTGGACGAGGGTGCACCGATCATATTTTCACCCTCCGACAGGTTGTGGAACACAGGCATATCTATCAGCTGCTGACACTTCCCATATCTCTTGACCTGAAGGTAGCACTTGACTTTGTCGACCGTGAGGTGTGGTGGCAGTGTCTGACCGTGAAATGAATACCGAGTAAGTATATGATACTTAGTAAAGATCTCTACTCTAACTCACGCAGCTGTGCAAGACAGACAAACAGACGGATAAAACCAAGGAAGAACCTTGCATACGAGTGTGTCAGTCCAAGTTGCTACACATCACAGCAGCAAACAAAGAACAGGTGGATAGAAAAAGCGTGACATAAAAGTAGAAAAATGTCTGTGTTTTTACCACTGTTCGACAGATCTCTCTGGCATGCCAGGACCTCGAGAGAACAATCGTTCCAGCCAGTGTAGCTCGCTGGGTCATTGTGATATGTAAGCCCGACCAGCACATCAAGATAGCGGATATCGGCCGCGCATATGAGGCTTACAAGAAGTGATGACAACCGGCGGTGCTACATCTGACCGTTCCTATTTAATTTTGTTACAGACTTACCAATCCACATGAACCTAGGTACCTCAAACTTTATGGAGATGGACCTGTTCACTAAAGGGCATATGGTTGACTGGCAGTACACAGATGGTGTTGTCCTGTCAGACAAAGACGTTGACAAAATTCGGGTCTTCTGAGCACCTTGAGCAGAAATCTGAATATGTTTGGCATGCGTTCGCACCTGTCGAGTCTGAGGTGGTTAGGAATGTCTAATCCCCCATTGTAAAAATGCAAACCTTATTTTCGAGACTTTTTTTGCTGCATGCAATGTTACTTATCTTTACCACAGTTTAAGATACTAAACCCTGACTGATCCAATTAACACTTTTAATATGCTATTTTGTTTTATAAATATATATATCACAGATCAAAACAGGCTATGCTTGAGCATCGGTCTGCATCGACTGCTGATTTAAAGATAGAAAGTGATGTGGTAAAAAGTGTCAACCACTTCAATTACTTAGGGAGTTGCATCAGCCTGTCGAATGGGTTGGTTGCCGACGAAATCTCAGCTCCGATACGGAAGGCCCGTTTGGCATTTTCTAACCTGCGTCATCTGTGGCGACCACCGGAGAGATATCCGAATGTCGATCAAAGAATGAGTATACTGCGCTTCAGTTCTCTCTGTCTTGCTATACAGTTGTGAGACATGGCTGTTGGAAGAAGACATGAAGCAGTTACAGGTTTTTGACCATAGATGTCTTTACAGTATTACTAAGTTATGGTAGAATCATCATAGCGGTGTGCTATTTTTAGGGCCAAACTTTCCCACCTCAAACCTTCCCATAAGGAAGGCAGCATCAGTGCAGCACTTCTACCCATTCAAGGGGAACGCTTTATAACCGTCACACACCTGTCCAAACAGCAGTACAACATCACCCTTGGACCCCCATTATAGCGCAGTAATCTATACTACAACGATAACTGCTTTTCGTGCTACCACTATGCAACAGGCTTTTTTGGTATAGTAGGATTTAGAGGAAACAAGTGTTTCCGTATCATACCAGCTTATCAGGTTATTTTGATATGCAAGCCTGACCACCACACCAAGGTAGCAGTTATCGGTCGGGATGAGCTACTGAAGTAGATTTACAGCCGTTTCACATAATCTCCAACCTCCGATTTCGCTTGTCACGCAGACCCCAACCCACGAGTCTGTTTCTTCCTACGCGGCTCAGAACAATGGTCAAAGACCCCATACACTGATGCCAGGTTTGAGTCCGGTCACCCCTAAACTCTCCGTTTGTTCCTACTTCAGCCAACAGTCCGCGACGCATGTCCCAACGGCCTTAATGGATGAAGATTCACACTTTCATCAAATAACTTTCCTCTTCTGTCTTAAACTTTACGCCTGACTTCTAAGTTACTGACTTGGTGATACCACGAAACACGGTCGAACACTTGAAATCTCATTACCTCCACCTCAAATGGCCATATTTTATAGCTAAATAGGGGTTCAGAAGGAACTGTAGTGCGCTACACTCGACACTAAATAGACAATCGGATATCAAGGAACATTATAAATGGCGTAAGTTAGCGAAAGACAAGCAAGTAATTCGTCTACGTACAGAGATTTCGTCGATCACTCACTGATCAGGGTTGATCCAATTTCCCAAGAAAGTGAAGTGGACAATGTACTGAACAGCTTCATTCTTTAGTGACAGACAAGGAACTAGCGACGACCAGTTCTGGAACAAAAATTTGGATTTTATTGGCGCGAAATGCGTCCTGAACACTCTTCAATTGCCACTCGAGGTATTCAATAAACTCTGATTCTTGTCAGTATCTCTAGCTAAAAGGATGATGTCATTTTTGTGCTCTAGGCCTACCAAAGTGTCTCCTGAAGCAAGATCAATACATGGTAAGTCAGACAAGAGGATGACCTTTTTAAGTGCAGCTATGGTGAAATTGAGTCAGAATGGAGAAAATGAAAATCATTGACAGACAACACTTGACGTACACACCTTGCTTATCAACAAACACGTGTCTGAATACAGAGCCTTCAACAGAGTGATGCACTTACCCAACACCCTTTTTTCAGTAAGAGATATTGCCATAAGATTTCTCGAAGAACAGAGTCGAATACCGTTTCTCGATCAAAGGATACAACTAAGGTCGAGCTCAGTTTTAGCCGTTTCCCCCCAGAGCGAATCGCAGACCTATTCCTTTCTGCAACAGTCTCACTAACTATTGACACTTTTGCTCCAGTTTTCATGATAAGTCTAAATAACCAGTGTTACCTACTGCCATGGTCTTTTCCATCTCCTCAGCCTTCACCATGCATAACCACTCGTGGTCATTACGTAGACTTGTCATCAGCCTATATTCTAGTTGTTTCTGCTTCTCATTATGCTCGGAACCTTCAGCGATACGTTCGCGTGCATCCATTAAATCAGAAGTTGCTGATATCCAGTGGCCCTTTCTAAGAGTCGTATAAAGTCTCTAAAGCTGTTTTCACAGCAGACTAGAGACGGCGTCACGCTTCTTCTGAATGAGTGATGACCATATAGACAGTTTCTCGCTGGAATCAGCCTTAATATCCTGTGTCCCGCTACACTTACTATAGTCTTGTCTTCGTAGTTTTTCCGCATCTATTTAGGTGAAGACATGCGCATTCTCGAACTAGTGCATGACCACTGTCTAAACACGTGCTCCAGAAGGAGAGACAGTTTTCCATCGACCCTCTCCAGAGATAACTCATAGCAATATGGTCTGTCCACTAGTGAGCTGAGGTCGGTGGGTGTAACGTCGGATAATGTCTCTCTGTATGTCTGAATTTCGTGCTGTACAGAAATAGAAAGCTATCAACACAGTTGTAGCAGGCGCTCGAGTTATCTGTTCGTACAGCTGTGATTTTAAAAGCACCACTCAAGTGCCTCTCTGTCTTACTTACCCTAGCCATCTGTGAATTTAAATCAATTGCTATGACAAATACATCTGGGCGTCTCGTTTTCAGCAGGCTAAACAGTTTTGGGTAGAATCCATCTTCAACTTCATTTGAACTGCGGCTAGTGGTTGCGTAAGCAGTGACTATAGAGGCAATAGTGTGTTTTATTGTTGTTTTCAGTCCTTACGGCACCTTTCAGTCGAAGAGCGATAAGATAAATGTTAGTTTAAGCACTTGATTTTCAAGCAGTAAATCCTAGATAGAAACCTCGTTCATCTGTTTCGATATGGCCATCCGCGTAGTAGTAAACGTCTTCAAGATACGTGTGGCTCGTAGACTCTCAAATAGGTACAGGTCCGGGCTTCTGTTGTGATAATTAAATCAATGGATTGTCTAAACAACTACATCATTCAATCCATATCTAATTGTCACACCTAACTTTACTGGGAGTATAATTGTGCAACAAGCAAAAAGTTCGTATATATACTAAAGTAATTGGCCTATTTGATGAAAGAACCAACTGTTTCCACAACATAGCACTAGACCAAAATAGTAGATAAAACATTTTTTGTTTGAATAGCTTACCATCCATTATTGACCGGACGTGCGCCAGCTCGATAGCTCCAAAAAGAATAAGCTTGTTGGCGGTCTGGATAGAAATGGCGGTAGGTATCAATCAAATTAGCAGATGATAATAATTTTGTAAAGCCTAGTCGTTCTTGATCAGTGAATCCTGCAGTTTTGTGGTTGGATTCTGGACGAGCTAAATCTGTTTACACGGAAAAAATAAAAACTTGAATAAGTAACACACAAAGTGCACATATAAAATGGTTGTTTCAATAATTTTTGGATGTCTATAAATGGTTGTCTTAATAATGGAAGAATGAAATCTTACATGCTTGTCGATGCAATGGAATTGTTTCGAAGGTGTGATTTAATAAAACTACTTGAAGGCGAATAATGTCCCGAGAAATAATAACCAGATAATTCATATTAGTGCTGAACTAGCGCCATCCCTTTTGCTGTGGAACTGAAAATATGTACGGACACTGATAGGTCAACTAAGAGTACTAAAATGCAACTAGGAATCTGAAAATGTGACCTATGAGAGTATAAAACACGTGTGTGGAAAGTCATTCGGTTGTGATATCACAGCGAATTTATCACCTATACTGACCACTACTACGCTTCAGAATGGCTGGCCATGATGCACATGCATACACACCATCGGCCATCATCGAAATTCGTAACATCCTTACTAGTCTTCAGTGATTTATCCCATCTTTTCGAATACACTTTTGTCGACTTTAATATCATTCTTCTCTTCCTATTAACTTCCGATTCGGATAACAAACTGATATATTCTTGTGCAAGACTCTAGCACTGGTTTGTCCATGTCTCTCAGATAACCCAGTATTTGCAGTTACATATTGAAACTCATCTCTAGTACTACACTAAAATCTTGAATAAGTTTTAGACATACTCCTACAACACAACTAGGCTTTCTTATATCTCTTTGAAAGTAGTGTTTTAGTGAAGTTACTAAGTGGAACTATTATAAAGCACATGAATACAAGGGCTAACAACACATTTATTACAACATAATTGTTTAGGTGATTGAGCGGCAAAAGTGAACTCATTCCTCATTATATTGCTCGCTTATCATAAACTTCGCAAACAATGGGATCATAGTTGAATGTATACGATAACAATGGGTAAAAGCAATACCTTATGTCCGATTGATAATTAAAGACCACTTCTGATTAGCTTGTTCTTGAAAATCAAGTCAACAGCAACAAATCCACAAAACAATTCTTGATACCCGACCGATAGCTGTTAAACTTAAAGTCAAACTTGCTTATCGAAACGATTCAAAATGGTGTGATGGTTAAAATGATTTTCTTAAAGTTGCACTACGCCAAAAAAGTCTTAAAAAAGGAATTTGTAACCTCCCTAACATAGATATCTCTTGGGCTCTCCTGTCACATCAAAAGACCCTCATTTCTTCCGATAACTAATGCAGATATCAAGTTCCACTATGTGGGTAGCCACAAATTACCAACAACCAGCTAGTTTTCGCTGACGTAGACATATCAGTAAGTTCTGAAACAGAAAGCAAACTTTTGACTAAATACTACCCGATGGCCGTTTGTGTACTGTCCGGCTGTGTGGATACGTAGGAACTAGAGAGGACTGATTCTCACATGGAAATTTATAATGTCCGACAGCAATCCGGACTACAAAAATTAGTTTTACCAAAAGATGTCAATTTCGTCATGACAAGCAAAAAACATCCCGATAAAACCAAACTAGAGGGCAACTCCAACGCTCAGTTAAGATAGCTGAACCAAGTGTAAAGGCCTTTTCGAGAGTACCTATGGAATTCCATCCCAGAGAGCCATTAATGATTACTGTGTCTCACTTTTCTGCCGAAGGTCACATTTTTGGCCAGCACTAATTTCATGTGATTGAACAAGTGGTAGATACAGGTAATATTGTTATAAGCTGTAGTTGGAGAAGATTGTTGCTCCTTCAGAAGTACCTGCTTGGACTCCGACGATGCATTATTTTATGCTAATATGCCTTCCCCTAAACTGACAGTGAAAACAAACAGCCGTACAGCTTCTCTGTTGTCTGGCACATAAGAAGACCGAATATGTATTTCTAGCGGTTACTAAGCACTTTATCTAAACATGACAGCGAATCTCATCCGCATGAAGTCTGCTGCAGAAACAGTTCGAAAGACAGTAACCTAAAGTCAAAGCTTCGTGAGAAATAGTAGATTTCTGCAATCTCATCTAGACTGACTGCTGATGGGAGACTCACTGAGGCTACATATAACCATTATGTGAGATATAACATATACTGATGAATAGTTTTCCCAAGTTTCAGACATCGATGAGGGTAAGTCAATCAGATTTACACCTTCCAACAGATTTCAGAACACAGGGATACTTACCGGTGCCCGATGTCATATTTCTTGACCTGGAAGTAGTACTCGACTTTATCGACTAAGAGGCATGATAATGCCTGACCATGAAAGGAGTAGCGGGGGCAAGGATATTATGCGAATTAAGGCTCCCTACCCCAAATCACAGCCGTGTAAGGGTTTACGAAAATTTGTCTTCTGAAGTGACGACAACCAGGTGGCGGCCAAGAATGTTCACTGTCATTACTGTTTTTGAATTTCATCATAGACATTCTGAAGGATGTCCCTTTACTTAATTCAGTGACTACCCAAAGGGTACCCAGATGACTTAGTGTACACATATAGTTTTGTCAGGCGAAGACGATGACAAATTGTACAGTCTTCTGAACACTTTACACGAAAATGAGAATTTCTGGTATACATCTGCCAAAAGCAAGGTGGTGCTTCAGAATAAGTCAATGCTGAGTCCGGATCTAAGGATCGAGAAGGAAACGGTGGAACGCACTGACCACTTTTCTTATCTGGTGGGTTACATCCATCAGAATGGGTTAGTATGTGGAGAATTTAAATTTGGATTCGTAAGGTCCGTCTGTTATTTGCCAACTTACCACGCCACTGACGCCAGTGAAGTACCTAACTACTCATCAAAACACGGGCATTCTGGGCAACAATTCTTGCTGTCTTATACTACGGCTACGGTGGCAGTCGAAAAAAGAAATGAAGTAGTAAGTATCAGGTAAGCGTCTGCATAGTACTGTTCGTGTGGTTAGACCACGGTAAAACTGTTGATATCATGCAAAAAGTGCTTCACAACCCAGAAGACGTCGTAAACCCTCACTGACTGGGGTGACCCGGGAATGTGTTGCCAATACCGAACCATCCCCTACCTCAATGCAGTATTATCGGATTTAAGCTCAGGTTTTAAAAGCAGAGATGGCCAGACCAAGTCAGAGAGAAAGTCTAGCCTTTAACCGCCGGTTTAAGCAGTGTAAAGAACTGTAGACTCCCTGGCTGCGGTCTGTATGACAACCGGAAATGATGACTCTAGGTCGTCGATGATACGGGCCAGTATGGACTGCAGTGGCACAGAAACGTCCACATATCTTTTATGCAGCTTTTAATATCTTTTTCTCTCATTTTCATGGCTTAATAGCTCACGATGACCGCTGATAACATATTTATCTCTTTTACTTCCTAAACATGCTGGTGAGATAAGGTAAATATGGAAGCAACCCTAGGGATTGAGTTGATAACGTCTGTCGGTAACTACTTCACTATCTACCCATGTTAAGACCCAGCGAATCATCCTATTTTATTTGTCCTTTTCACAAAGAAGTAAACGAACCTGCCTTAAAATTTTAATTTTGCTTCACCTATATAAACAGATGTTACCAAAGGGTCGTCCGTTTTAGTGAGTGTATAGCTTTCTAATCTATACTGAAATGCATAGAAACATATCCATGCAGATCACTTCTTTCGTAGATAAAGGAGAAAAAGATGACGAGAAACCTTTGCTGAAGGATGTCAACCAAAACAACAAGGATAGTAACTCAAGAAAAAGATGGTTAAAAATCTGTTGTTTGCTTGAAAGAATTAGTTATGCACTTATAGTTTCTTGGGAAAAAACACACCGTAATTTTTATGAATTACTGTAATGCATACCATTTTGCATGACGAAATAAAGTTTGTTGGAATACATAGTAAAACACTCGTGCAATGTACCAGATTGTTAGAATTTACCTATTTCCTCATGAGCTACGTTGAGGTCACCACACACAATAACCGGTTTCTTGCCATCCAGATTACGTAAGTAATCGAGGAAGTCTGGATCCCATTCCTTCTCACGATACGGCAAACGAACCAAACCTTGTCCTGAATTCGGTACGTCTTCCAAATGTTCAGTAATATATTTGACTTACAGGCAGTGACCAGATAGAACTTTTCATACTCCGCAGTGATTACACGCCCTTCTTCATCGTGAATCTTCTTTCCTATACCGTAAGTCACTTTTAATGGTGGGATCTTTGAAAACAAGGCTGTTCCTGCATAACCAGCTTTTTCCGCAGATGACCAAAATGACTCATAGTGAGGAACTTTAGCTTCAGATGGAATTTTATGTAAAGGACATTTGGTCTCCTGTATGCAGTAAATATCGGCACCCTCCTTCTTTATGTACTCCATACCACCATTCTGTAAATACTTCGTATTATGCAGAACTCTTACTTTGATGACAGCCCGTATCCCGTTTACGTTCCACGAAGCGATCTTTAGATTCCACTTTTCTGACAAAGGACTAGCCAACTCTGGAGAAGAACCAGGATATCTTATGCACCAATTTGAACTTTTATCCTATATCATGAAAGCGTTTCGACTAGGTTTACCCCAGATAAATTGTTATCTTCAGGACATGAGTCCTTCACACGAGGCTTCTTAGGTTCCTTTTTCTCATTACCAGCATTCTGTTTGGGAAGACACGGCTAGTTTTGATGGACACTCTTTAAATGCTTACCGAACTTCTTTTTGAACGCATTTGAACGCTGAGGATCAAAACACCACGCAATTTCAAGGCCATATCTTAAGCATCGCTGGAGTTTTCAAACCATAAACGTCATCCCAAAGAAATTACAGAATTTTCTTGTTAGTTATCCATACCAGTACTTTTTGTTAGAGTTTCTGTTCCTACGTTACTATGTTCATATTCTGAGTCAAAATATCACTTCGAATCGCCTTAACCACAATAATGTTTGAGGTTTGCATTTCTAAATAACAGAGGTGAGGTTATTAACCAAGGAGCAATATTCTAGAGTGAAGCCATCCATAAAATTTGATCAAATAATGGCATGAGTGACGGTGAAGTGCATTTCAGTTAATTCGTAAAGATAATTCATGAGCATCAGCTCGAATTCTTGCCGTTGATTTCTGTCCGTCAGTGAAAGCCAGAGAAACTCTCGCTCTAAAACTCGGAGCATCAAATGTCCTCCAACACAGACTGGAACGCCTTTGAACCGTCTTTGAGTGACTTAAAATTTGCACCATCACCCAAGAGCCTCTGCAAATCCTACAAGAACTTCATGTTATCTATCTGAGAAGCTTTGGATCCAAGCATCTTTCGAGTCTTTTCCCCATAACTTCAGCCTCCTTCTGCTCTCCACTCTTCCTTCCATCTGTCACTGCCAAGGTTTTTCGAGAATTCCTTCATACATGCCGCAATCCCTGAGTATCTGACAATAAGGTTTCTAGATTGGGTTACTTCGTTATCAACCACGTCACTAATGTATATTGATTGGTCCTTGAGGAGCAAACAATACTGTATTGTCTAACCCCGAGTGATGGCCGAATTCCATCTATCGTTTTGCGGTGTGACCAGCAAGCCATAGGGCTGGGTATCGTGTTGCACTCTGGTAAATGTTGGCTGGTAGGAGGTAATCGGTAGAAAGCTCTGCTTCACCTAGATTCCATGCTTCTCGGCACCCTTGAACTATGCTCATTTGTAACCTTGAAGGAACTGCCATCTTCTACGAGATTTGGACCAGCAGCGAAGCAGTCAGGGATAATGAAAGATTTGTGTACGCATTTCATTCCATCATTGGAATTCCCTGTATTTTACTCACATGAATTTTTCTTCCTAGGTTATCTCTTCAATGTCCTCAACCCCCTCTTACTATCAGTCCGGACAACTATCTGGCAACCGGACATCTAGAGAACACAACTGCGCAGTAGTCCCAGGCCAACTGACCAATACCCAACCACCTGTTGGGTATACTACAGCTACTGTAGACAACTGGCTGGATCCATCACATCAGAACCCGCAAAAGACCTGGAAACGTCCGACAAGACTTAAGGGCTTGCACGGAGAAATCGACAGGTTTACACAAGCTCGATAAACGGATATTGGATATCAAGTAATACGTGATTCACATGAGATCATATGAATAGAGATCAAAGTGCTACTTTGTGTTAACTTTCACCATCTTTATAACCTTTTGGGGAACATTTTCGAAACCTTTCTGTTCAGTTCAAAGAACAGTTAGCAAACGTGGGAGTAACTATCTATGAGCACCAATTCCACTCGCCCGGGCCTCAAGGTCTCTTACGGCTAAAAGTCGAAGTCTGTTGGGCTTTTGGGCCGGCGAACACATCAACCGACAAGCCAAGACAGCTCTTCGCGACCACTACCAGCAATTTACTTGCTGGCAGTCACCATCTTTCTGAACCGTATGGGCCTCCCTTCGTTTTCCTTAACAGTAGCTGCTCTACAAATGTTAAAGCAAAGTGGTTTGGATCGTCATCCATACAAGATGCTAGTGAGCGGTTGACACCAACGGTATCTTGCCGTCCAGATCTATCAGCGACGAAGAACGCAGTTCCGCTGACAACCTTGAAGGTTTCGTCCTTTGGTAGTTGTAAGGGTTTCCGTGCAACATCACAACTCACAAAGAAATATGTTAAACTCCGAAGCCCTTCATCCAACCACACTCATCTACCCTGGATTCCAGCGGATGAGGGTTGGAGACAACGCAACTGAAGCTTATGAGTATCCGCATAACCGCGGAAATCGGTAGGAGTTGGTCGCTTACAACCTGAAGCAACCAGTTCGGTAAGCAAGTGTTGGTTAATTCCGACATCAGGTTGGCAGGATAATGTTGTATTTTTGTCTGAAGCGTGGTGTGAACTCTAAGAGGAACTGATGGCAGAGATTCAGCCCACTTTACACTGTCGAATGACACTGATGAGGCCCGCAAGCGCCGAAGAAGGCGTTCCATCAAACCAGAAGCCAGGTGGTATTCAGTGGTGAGAATGTGTTTGTATCCCAACAAATTTATCAGGTTCTGGAAGGTAACAGATTCAAAATAGTGCCCTTAGTCGGTCGTCGCAGTAGTAGTGCAGCCAAACTGAACAATACATTCCTCAACGAACACAGGAGACTAATTATTTCAGCGTTACCGTGTGACAGTGCGATGGATTATGGTCAGGGGGCGAACCTATCGACTTATGCCATCTTCCATCCACTCCGCCTTCTCACAGAAGTAGCCCAATGATGTATAAGTGGACATGGGCTTGCGAATGCTCTGGTATGTTTTCACAGTCTTTGCTAGAGGAGTCCTATTCATCGTCCTCATCTGGCGGAGTTTCGTTCGCAGAAGTGAAAAGGCCCAGGTGAATGTCCGTGCGCTTATCACCGGGTTAGTGAATACTGAGGGCCTATCAAGCGGAATAGAGTAACCCTGATTCCAAACCAATGGCGCACAGGTGTAAAGGAAAAATGATCTGAAAATCCCTCCCGATCACCCTTATTTGATTGTATTGACATTTATTTTAACATTTTACCCTCGTTGTGGATGGTGTACCTTTGACCCTAGCCGGTGTAATGTTATTTGCTTGTTTAACTGTCTTATTTGACTTTACACTCGGTATTTGCCTTTGCATGTTTGAGACTTATCATGAATGTTTCACTTTCCTATTATGTGACGCTGGACTGTTGACAAGGTGATGTTGTTTTACTGCACCCGACATTTTGTTTTGGTTCAGCTTACGGTTGTGCAGTGATTTGACTGTTTGTCTTTTGACTGTCTACTGGGAACGTTTGTTTGTTGATCTGATTCCTGTAGGCAGAGTTTTGATCCCTTTTGCCGGGAATATTCCTATTGACCGACAGGTATTTAACAGTTGTATTTTTTAACCAGTTTTTACCGTGTAGTACGTATTTGTACCCGAGAACGTTTTGGACTGTATAGTTACCCAAATGGCACTGTTGAGGTATTTTTGTAATTTGACATAACTTATTGTTGCTTTGATAGTACCACAGATTTTGTTACGAATCTACTATTGAATTACTACAAACCGTGTTTTGATATTTCGATCCAACCTTTGACTGTGCGTCACTCGCGGAAGTTAGGAAGCTATACAGTAGAACGCAGGAACTAATCAGATTCACGTCAGTTGGCACCGCCTAGCTATTTCCCGCGTTCAGGCCAAAATTATTGGATTCTGGCCGCTACAACAGGTCCCAAATTGGATGAGTGGTGACAGAACCTACTTTGGTAACTGGCAACCATATAAATGCAGTTCCTGGTATGGGCCCACCGCTTAGTAGACTGCATTTTAAGTCAAAGGCCCGGCGAGTGGTCCCTGAGTTAGCCACCTACTTCGGTCTGGGTGCCTATACCGTGTCCCAGACCTGGCATAAAATATGGATTTACTGTATAAAATGAAGGCTTCGAAACAACTGACCAACCTTCCTGAGGATGCTCAAGCTCTCCTCACTGCAAAATTCACAATCGATCACTTGATCGACTGCTTTTATGTTGTTGCCCTCATGTAAACTGTATTTTTACTATCATCCCGGCTTTTTTCTTTACCCTTACTTCATTAGTCTAATCGCCGTTACTTAGACTTCTAGTCTGTCTGCGCCGTTTTGGGTCTCCCCGTTAAGCTGTTCTCCAGTGCTACAGCTGATACAGCTATCCTGAAATCATGCGCGCCGTTTTAGCTGGCCACCTCCAATGCTCGTAAGTTGATGCGGATCAGATGACGGGCAAGTTTGGCTTGGACTCTAGACAACTTCACCATTTACGTATGCTGCTTCCCAACGGCCCGCATAGAATATCCCGGTAAAGTCGTCTGGTTGGCCAATAGGGACTATCGGGCCGCTGGTAGGATAATGGGGATCGTTGTCCGTAACTTTTCGCGGATAGCTACCCGTTTCTGGATAGAACCAACTGCTGGTGCAGCCACTGCCTTTGTGCCACTTAGAGTCCTCCCTCTGTCACTTGAGCCTGGACTAAAATGGATTATGCTGCAGTCAGCTACCGATGGGGTGGATGCAAAAGGACTACGGCTCCACATACACTGCTTGCCCGGATTCTGACCATGCTTTAGTGTGTGCTGAGCTTGCCTCGTGTTTTGATAGCTATCACGGTCGTCACCCTAAAAGGGGAGACGCAAATAAATCCATTGCAGGTAGATACCAATCTGAGCCAGATTCAAGGCCAGCCACCTATCCTTCAGAAAGCGTAGACGATGATTGGCTTCATTTTCTGGACGTCGGGAAAATGGTGAGTAAAGCCGCTTGCAGCTCAGAAGAACGTCTTGCTAATAAACCCCGGGTCTCAATGAACTGCCCGCAATTTCTTGGCTCCCGTCTGACCATTCAAGTGGATAGTGAGTGGAATGGCTGGCACAAGTCTCGCACGAAAGATCACACAGCGCCTACTCTGGGACCGTAAGGCTTAGTGGCCAGAACGTGCGGGCGAGATGGAAGCCTGGTATCAATGCGATTGTCTGTGAGGTAGACGGCATGCCGATAAACAATCTTCAGAGACACCTGGAACGCTGGACATAGAACTTCGAAAAGCAGTTTAGATGGCCCACGGCCCCTGCATTGTCAGCTTCAGTGCATTGTGCTCCATGGTCAATATACACTGACCGACCTGACGTAGCCCTAGTTCACAAGGGGCGTCAGGATCTGAAACACCAAGAGGCAACAGGCCCAGATAACTTCCCCCAGCACTTTCTAGGGTTGGACGAGCGACTGTAGTCGTGGAACCGACTAGGTTGTCTGAGGTGTGGCAA